ACAGCAAGTTGGCACAGTAGGGGGTGTAGGTGGTGCATCGGCCAGTCATCTTAGTCAGTCAACCCATTGCACCTGGGTCTGTCCCTTGACCTCCTGCCAGTGGGCATTCAACACTTCACATGGCCTTAAAGTGCACATAGCCTGGCATCACCGATGTGGTGGCATTACCGGCACTTAGTGGAGAATGGTGGTTGTTCTTTGTACATGTGTGTATGCGTGTGTGTACACTCTGAATGGAAGCACCGAAGCGAGCAGCGCATTGGGAGCGGCGCCGACCATGACCGTGAAGCGACAAATGAAACCAAAATAACCGCCACGCTCGCAAAAACAACGGAGAGCAGTGAGCTGTCTCTCGCGGCCACCTCAGCGAGGCCCTAGGCCAAAATCGACCCTCCTCCCCCCCCCCCCCCCCACCGTAAAATCGGTCCTGGGTCTTGGAAGCTAAGCAAAGGTTTGTCCGATGTTGTAGGTGCGGGGCTGCAGCGAGGTGGTGGAGGTGGGGGTGTTGAGTGTCACACCCCTCGTCTACAGCAGCGTGGTGCTGGGTTTCTCCGGAGTTCTCCGATGTCCTCCTCCTACGACCTTCTCCTACGCGACACCCAAACTCTCGCTCGCAACGGAACTCGCGGTCATACTTCCCATGGTGGCAGCACCCTACCGAAAACGAGTCTTGAGACTTGGCGAGACTTGGCTGTGTAATTGCCATTATCATTGCTATCTCATAAAGTAAATACAGTGGAGGGGGAGAAGGGAGGGTTAGCACCATTGCTGAGCACAAGCCCAAAGCTCCAAGTGGCCAGCAATAATCAGCACTTTGCACTGCTGCCACTCCGCTTCATGCCCCTCCCCCCACTTCGTCTGTCGTCCGTCGAGCAGGTTGCCCACGTGCCACACGCGGTATCGCGAAGTGCATCGTGCCACTGCATTCTTCGCTGGGCATCTTTGCTGAAGCCTCCTTTGGTCTCCGCCGTATTGGCGCATTTCTGGTGAAAATGTGGCAATCGTTAGTCAGGAGGAGGGGGACTGGGGAGTGGGTGGTTGTGGTGGGGGGGGCACGGGCTGCGTGGCTGGTACAGTACTCTGTCTGCAGATGTTACCATGCCGGTGTTGGCACCGCCTTTGCGTGGCACAACACCACTGAGTCTCGAGGCTTTTTCAGGAGGGTTCTGTCAAGTTTTTGCTAAAGGGGGTGATGTTGCTGGTGCTGCTGTGTGTGCTATGGGAGGAGACCGGAGAACCCTGAGGAAACCCACACAGAACAGGGGGAGAACATACGAACTTCACACAGAAAGGCCACCCATGTCTGGAATCGAACCCAGGCTTTTCTTTGTGAGGCACGAGCGCCATCACTGTGCCACCACCGCCCTCTGTATTCATTTGTGTGTCTTTCTGGGAGTCCGTGGGTCTCTCTGCGAGTTAGTTGGTCTCACCATTAAATCACTCCGAGATCCCCACCGAGGCTTACGCGTTGGCGATCATGCGGGTCATGTTTGGTATCAAACAGCGTGAAGGCGCCGCCAGGCGTGCTGTGTTACGTAAACGCAGCGTGCACACCGACGCGCCAATCGCCCGCGGGGCTAGCACTGTTAGGGGGGTTAGCGCAGGTGGGGGGCAGTACGGCATCAGCGTCCACGACGAGCGACTTTGGACGTTGATGACAATTGCTAAACGATGTAAAGCTTTCGTGACTACAGGGATTCATCTTCTTGTTCTTTCGGTAAAGTCACGTAGAATGTAAATAATAAAATAATAAAAATAAAACATAATAAAATAATTCTCACGACGTTTCGGCCACAACGCAAGCAGCCGTCCTCAGGTGGAGAACAGGTCTGTCGAGAAAACAGAGTCTGAATGACATTCAGACTCTGTCTTTTATTATGTTTTATTTTTATTATTTAATTATTTCCATTCTACGTGACTTTACCGAAAGAACCAAGAAGAATTGCTAAACGATCGATAGATTTTTATTTCACGTGCCCATAAATAAGTAGGTATCGGTGTGTGTTACAACATAATGGGAATGGTAGAGGAACATGAAATGAATGAGAAAAAGACCTTCACACCCTCCGCAGCTAACGCGGACCGAGTAAAATAAAGTGCAACCGTGCACAATGAATAACATCGGAAAGGTAAGTGGTAAATAAAATCAATGAGAAGTAAAGAGACAGTTTTCATTACTAATTGGAGATGATATGTGAAGACGAGTCTGAGTAGATGCATCTTGCACAGACCGCCGAATTGAGAGACACTCGGCGCGTTTCGGATGTCCGGTGGCATGCGGGGAGTTCCAGATTTTTGGGGCTACGCCCAACAAGGCCTCGTCCCCCCAGCTTCCGGTGAACAATCCTAGGCTGGGCAAGTCTCACCATTTCTTTGCAACAGAGTGTTTTGTATGTGCCTGAGGATTGGAGGGAGGTTCGTTTTTGTGGGTAGATAAGGAGCCAAGCCATGCAGTGCTTTGTAGGTTCGGAGAGCTATCTTGAATCGGAACAAAAACCAAAGGATGCTCAAAGAAGCGTGGAGTTCGGCGCACGCTTGGAATTGCACTGCGAGACAGGAAGAGGAACACACGGCTGAGAGAACAGCTTGGTAACCTCACGTCACCTGCCAAGAGAAGTCAAGTGAGGCTCGGGCAGCGCATGGCGTGGCCTAGAAAGGTCGACTGACGAGCGTTGGACGAGACTAACGGCAGAGTGGAAGCAAAAAGGCTGGAGACGCACCCCAAGAAGATGTCAACGCACCCCAAGAGGTGGAACGATGAGGTCAGGGCTCGTGTGCCAAGTAGTGCTGGGTGGATTTTTACATCGTAGAGCCGTGAGGGATGGCAACAGGGTGAAGAAGCCTTGACCCAGCAGTGGATAGTCCACGGCTGTTGGTGGTGGTGCTGGGCGTGCAGTGAGAACTCTTTCAGGTGAAACGATGCAGATTCGATTCGAGCTCCGGGTTCTTGACTCGTTCATCTCGTCCATCGTCCACAGCGGCTCTTTGCCCCCCCCCCCCCCCCCACTATTGCGTGAGAAATCTAACGATGACCTCCCTGTGTTCCCCTCCTCTCCCACTGTCTATCCCTCCCCCTCTCTCCCACTGTCTGCCTCGCTGTCTTCATGCTCCCCCTCTTGTTGCCCCCGGCTGCTGTCGCGTTGGATGAAGCTGACGACACGTTGGGGCGTGCAGCGATGGCTCGCGTTTTGTCGTGCATGAAATCCTGGCGCTCGTTGCACGCAGCACTGTGCCTGGGTATGGAGGGTGTGTGGGGGGCGTTGTGAATGGTGGGGGGTGCTGTCTGGTAGGTGGTGGATGTGGGGAGCGATAGCGTAGTAGTTAGCGCACTGCATTAACAACCCTGTGACCCCGAGTTTGATTCCTACTCACGGCCACCAACACCAGTGATGATTATCTGAACTGGTCCTGGGCCTCCCCTTGGTCGACTCAGCCTCAAATGAGTACCTGGTACATTTTACAATTTTTACAGGTACTCCTTCGCAACTAGGGAGATGAAGGTGGCCGGGTGTGGCGCTTGCCACCCTCTCATGTGCTGTGCCGGCCTTCCCACGTGCTCGCTAACAGCGTTTGCCCCAATGAAGTCTGTTAAGGCTATACGGGGGGGGGGGGTGGGGGGATCTGTCTTTGGTGGCTGAGGGAGCAAAGGTAAAGCTACCAAATGTGTTGCCAACTCGCCAATTTTCCATTTTTTTCTGGGGACTGTTTCTGGAGGAAGTGTTGTGACAAGCGACGCTGGGAAGGGCCCCGTCATCCCGTAACTTTACGCGGCATGACCCTAACGCACCGCTTTTGGCCGGCACAGTTCCGGCCCTTCTCGTGCTTCTACAGAGTTCGTCCCGGTGCCCAACCGAAGGTGGTGGGGGTGGCGGGGGGGGGGGTGCGGGATTAACATCGGCAAACACGAAAGTGCGAGGTCGGGTCTGATAAGAGCACCTGCTGTGGAGTGAGGCATGGCGTCCAAGGGCACGGGTTCTCCCGCTGTGCCGGTTTGCCTGGCACCTCGGACCTGGCGACCCCAGTTCGATCCTGGCCGCGGCTTACGTCGAGTGATGTCAGGTCCGGTCCGGAGTCTCCCCCCTCCGTCCTTCACCACAGCAAAGTATGGACGAAGAACCCCCTGCCCCCCACCCCCGTGATCAGCTCGGAGTGGGGAGGCCCTTATCCAGCAGCGGATTGGTGGTGGGCCGTGCGCTCCGTTGTCCGATAACGCGTCGTGATCTCCGCTCCTTTGTTGAGAGCCGGGCGACCGTGTGATCCGATTTCGCTGCCCAACTCGCACAGACTGGCGACGTCAGCGCCGCGTGTGTGTGTACGTGATGAGCCAGGGCAGCAGAGCCCCTAGCACGGCACAAGTGGTGTGGTGACGTCACCGCTGCTTACTGGTGAACGGCGGTTGTTGGTGCGTGCGTCCATGACCCGTTTTGCTGAATCGTGTCATTGGGACAGGGGCGTGTGGGTTAGGAGCACTGAGAGCTTTAGTTTTCCCATGCAGACTACGAAGGTTGTTAAAATCATTTATGTTACAGGTAAGCGTACCCACACCTTACCCCATCGCACGCTGGCCTGCCGATGGACTGAGGTCGAATCCATTTGTGTGGCAGGGTGAACAATACGGGAGGAGGGGGGGTGGCTGGCTGATAATGGGCGATCTAAGAATCCTGCTACCTTTGTTTCAACCACCTTGCCAGGAGATGGAATCGAACCGGCGACCTCTGCGAGCTCTATTGCTCAGTGCGCCTTACCTGGTAACATAAAAAAATATTTATAGTTTAGTTTATGCCCGACTGATTGCCAGCCGGCCGGCCGGAGGACGCTGCATTCACCTTGAGCTGCACAGGGACAGCTGCCACCAGGGGTCCCCTGCCGCAGAGTGTTTCGAGATGTGCTGCGTTGGAGGTACGGTACAAACATTTAATGATTAACTGTCTCCGTGTGTGTGTCTGTGTCTCTGTCCGTGTGTGTCTGCGTTTCTGTGTGTCCATGCGTATGTCTTGCAGCATCATCGAGAAGGGGGAGCTTCATTGCGGCGAGCTCATCGAGGCACACAAGGAGTGCATGCGCGCCCTGGGGTTCAAGATCTGATGTCCGTGGGGACTCACGCCGCACGCCACTCGGTAAGGGGCGCTGCTGGGCGTGGGGAGCTCGGGCGACCGCCGCTTTGTCAATCCGCTACTGGACGCATGAAGGCTTCAGTCGCGTGGGGGTGGGGAACCCTGGAGCGGTTTAAATGACGCTTATTGCAACAAATCTTAGCCATGGACGGGGATCAAACTCAGGACACTGGGCTCATGGTGTTAACCACGGTGCCACCACTGCACCCAAATCGAGAGTTCGGACTCGTGCGTGTGTATGTGCGTGTGTACGTGCGTGTGTACATGTGTGTTGTGTGTCTGTGGGGTGTGGTGGCACTATGGTTAGCGTACTGTGCTACAAACCCGGCGACTCAAGTTCGATTCCCGTTCACGGCCAAAACCAGTCTTTGGCCTCCCCTAGGTCGACTCGGCCTTATATGGGTACCTGTTGCAGCTTGTTAACATCTGCACTGGGGAGACAAAGGCGGTCGGGCATAGTGCCACCCACCCCATTGTGTGCCGTGTCAGCCTTCACATATACACTTCTGCGGCCGTCTAGAATGCTCTTTCGATAATAGGAAGCCACTGGAGATATGCACTTTTAAATCGAGATTGAAAACTAATTTCGTGAACTGCTTTTTGTGTTTTAATTCGTTTTCCTTCCCCAGCACCTCTGATTAGCACGGTAGGCAAAGTGCGGTGCGAAAGAAGTTCAACATTAATACGTCGGCGCTGCTTGCTAACAGCATTTGCCTCAGCGGTCCGATAAAGGCTACCCTGGAGATCTTTATTTTTGTGCGTGTGCGTCTGTCCTCAGATGGCCGTAGAGATTGGCGTGACCTTGGATGACCCCCCTCAACCGCCAACCCAACAACATCGCCCCCCCATCCTTGAAACCCACATCATAAACACACGGATCCCACTGGGACCCATGTCCTTTGGGGGGGGGGGGGCGGATGTGTGGAGGGGGGGTAAGAGAGAAATGTTTATTTTAAACACTTAGTATTATTATTGTTGTTGTTCTCTTCGAGATAAACTCAATGAAACCGAGTCCAGAATCTCCTCCCTGTGCGCTCCGTGAGTGTAAATAGCAGACCGCGAGCGATCCTGCCGTAAACATCTCACTCCAAAACCACCACCAACACCACAATCACCACCACCACCACCACATTCACTACCACAACCACCACCGCAACAACAACCACTAACAAAACGACAACCCCAAAAACAGCAGCGGCATCTTCGCGTGTCGTGTTTAGGCAAAGCGACTTTTTAATTGATCACGTGACCCAACACTGACCCCACTGTCCGTTCGCCTGAGGTCATGGTAAAGGGGGGGGGGGTGTGGGGGGAGGGCTGCGAGGAGTCGTTTACACAATGCGGTCAAAATAATAAACGCGACCTGATGTGGGGCCTGCGGACACGATGGCCTGCTTCCTGTGCTGCTTCCTGTGCTGCTTAATGCTTCCCGAGTGGGGAGGATGTGTGAATGGAGTTGAGGGGGCTTAGAGAAGAGTAGAGTGGGATGTACAAACAAACACCTTGCGAAAGACCCCTGAGTTTGACCTTCCACGAAGCGCATAGTTCACCCTTCATCTTATGTGCGCCAAACCATGGCAGATGCGGATACCTGAGGCACCAATGGTGCAACTGTGGTCATCTAGAACAGACCATACAACATATAACGACGCAATGCCCGATCCACAAATACGAAGGAGACATCGCAGCGATGATACACTCTGCTACTCCTTACGCGGTTATCTGGATTTACCACCTGAATGCGAAATTGTAGTTGTTGCTCTGAATCTACATCGGCTGTACGAAAGAAGTGGGATGAGAGGCAGGAGTGTGTGGAGGGGAGTGGAGTGAGATGGGAGAGGTCGAAAAGTGCGTGGAGTGGAGTAAAGTGAGAGGGGATAAGTAGGAAGTGTAGAATTTTGAAGACAATGAGTGAGATCTGGGGATTGGGCTGGGATCGGATCGGAACCGGTGGGGGGGGGATCGGGGGAATGTGGGTGACGCGCTCTCGGTTACAGTTGTTGCGAGGCGGCTTGCGGAGGATTCCCGAATCGTCTGTGAACAGGAGACGTAGCATTCACCGTGAGCCTTGCCCAATCCATCGCCAGCAGCAACGATCGACCCACTGCTGGATGAAGCACCTCCGCAAGCCATCGCCACCTGCCCACGGTCTCTTGATGCATCAATCCGTCTGGTTCTTGCACACAACAGCTGATGTCGTCGTGACTCCATCTCTGGTGGACCTTCTGGAGGGACAAACTCGTCCAAATTTTTTGCATTCACGGGAATACAATCCTGGACGGGGTTTCGCTTCTCGCTTAATAACAATGTCGACAGTCAATTGGTAAGGTTTGTCGCATAAACAAATCATGCCAGTTTGCTAGTTCAGCACACTCCGTTGTGTTGGAGAGTAAACCCACAATATCTACGAGTCCACCGTTGCTCCTATAATTACAACCAGCATCATCAGGCAGCAGCGAGTTATGGAAAAAGCCTGTTTCTGTCTTAAATAGAGGGATACATGTGATGTCACTTATGAGCCAATCAGGTGCGAGGGGGGGGAGGTTAACGAATGCATATATATTACAATGAGTATCCATTACCATATTCTTGGTTCTTTCGGTAAAGTCACGTAGAAGGGAAATAATAAAATAATATTGAAATAAAAATTCTCACGACGTTTCGACTGCAACACAAGCAATCATCATCAGGTGTGAAATCCACCGAAATAACCAAGAATATGAATCCCTGCAGTCACGAAAGCTTTAAATCAAAATGTATCCATTACCAGTTGACTAATTCGTAGAGTAATCAACATATATAATGTGCATGAACAATGCGCATGCGCGATACACATGTAGTGAAGATGTCCAGCCAGAGAGTAGGTATGTAATGTGAGAATATATCCGGGTCGCTGACGGATTACAACTCGTCACGATGATTGGCTCTGCCGGTCCTGGTCCATAGCAAATGGGGGAAAGCCTAGGGGCGTGGCCCTGACGTAATGGAAAGGTGACAGCTGTAGGTAGAGGATTGGTTCTGCTGGCTTTTGCCAAAGCCAATGGGGAGACGAGTCAGGTGCGTGGTCCAGGGAGCCTACGATGGAGTCTGGAAGATTCCATCGTAACCAGGATTGGTGGAAAGGTACCACGTGACCCGGGTATTAAATAGGGTTGAAGACGAACAACACGTGGTCAGAACTGGAACGAACGGAGGGAGAGACCACGCGAGAGTCGGGGTCCAGGCTGCCACGTGGCAGCGCACGTCTCTCTCTATCCCTCTCACGCTGTCTTTCAGCAGCATGAAGGAGTGTTGTAATGAAGGACAAATAAATACCGGATTCCAGAAGTCGCTTCCACGACCTTTATTACAGGTATATAACATTATTGTTGCTCTCACACTCCACTTCCTGCCGAAAAGTGCCCCATGCACTCCTTCCGCTGGCCTCGCCCCCCTTTTGGGGATTTCCTTCGCCTGTCGCTGCTGCGTCTTCGCCGCCGTCTCTGGAAGACGCCACTGCCTTCTGGGGCCGCATCTCCACATTAAACCTGCCCCCCCCCCTCCGCAAAAAAGCCCTCCCCGACTTCTCATAAACCGTGGTGAGCCCGACGGATCGGGGGGGGGGGGGGGCGATGCGAAGAAGGGAGAGAAAAATAACGTCACGCCTGTTGGTCGATAAACAAAACCAATGTGAGCTCAACTGATGTGTCTGTATGTGTGTGTATACATAAGGGGCCGTCCATAAATGACGTCACGCAATTTTAGACGATCTTTGACCCCCCCCCCCCCATCGTCACGCGGCGTCACAAAAAGTCAGACTCCCCTTCAAATATGACGTCACAAAGCTCTGCCCCCCCCAAAAATAAAACTTTCTTCAAATCGCTTTAAACTATTGTCATTGTAGTGCATATTTAATGTGCCGCTGCACTCTGCTGTTGTAGGAGAAAATATTTATTAAAAAGTCTATCTAATTAAGTAGAACGTTCTAGATTTGAAGCTTTCGTGACTGCAAGGATTCATACTCTTAGGTTTTTTCGGTAAAGTCACGTAGGTAAAAAATAAAATTAAAAGTTAATAAAAGTAATAATGGAAATAAAATAATAAATCACGACGTTTCGGAGGCAACACAAGTCTCCGTCATCAGGTGGGACCGTCACAGCTAAAATTACTGCATCAAGTGAGGACAATTCCAAAAGACCAGCCCTTAAATACAAGTTAAGGGGGGAGGGGCTTTTCTGAATGTGGTAACCAGGGAATGGAACGTGGGGGTGGTGGGCGGGGCTACAAGAGAAATTGGTCAACGTCGTCACAAATGTCTGACCCCCCCCCCCCCCTAGGTGCGTGACGTCATTTATGGACGGCCCCTAATGCATCGCCATACTGTTCAACACCGTCCCCCTTTCCCACCGGTCCGATAGGTCGAGGTGTGGGACTCCACGTGACCGCACAACTCCCATAAAGAGTCGTCAGCACCCACACACAGGGAGGGGGATGAATCTCGGAGTTCATTTTCATGGTGGTCGCAACCTTGCGGTGCCCATAACCGTCACCAACTCGTCCCTCAGACGCCGACCATGCTATTCTGAGTGACAGAAGCCGATACAATCTGAACCAGTGCACAGCATGCATATATATGTATGCAGCCGTGCATAGAATACCTAAGGGGGCGTCCATAAATGACGTCACGTGATTTTGGACGATTTTTTGACCCCCACCCCCTCCATCACGCGACGTTACAAAAAGTCAGACCCGCCCCCTCAAATATGACGTCACAAAGCTCTGCCCCCCCCCACCCCCGCCCAAAAATATTAAACATGCTTCAAATCGCTTTAAACTATTGTCATTGTAGCGCGTATTTAATGTGGCGCTGCACTCTGATGTTGTAGGAGAAAACATTAAAAAGTATATTTAATTAAGTAGAACGTGTTGTCTATTTTTATTTAAAGTGGCGCATTTTGATGTGACGTCACATTTCTCACCCCCCCCCCCCCCTCGTCACACATCGTCACAAATGTCTGACCCCCCCCCCCCCCCCACTTGCGTGACGTCATTTATGGACGGCCCCTATCCACAACAGCACGGACGTATACAATAACAGTAACTGCCATCGCCGAGACGGTAACAATATCTGAAAGAACAATAGTTGCTGCGAAAACAAAAGGCGCAAAGTTCCGCGGTCTCGTGGTGCAGTGCAAGGTGATCATCTATAATTCAGGGGTCCCCAACCCCCGGGCCGCGGACCGGTACCGGTCCGTGGCCTGTTAGGAACCAGGCCGCACAGCAGGAGGTGAGCGGTGAGTCCGCGCGTGGCCTGCCCCCATTATTTTATTATTTACCACGTCCGTCCGCGCCTCTTTCCCGCACTGCGCACTTGTCTCAGTCAGTTTTGCTAAGCCCACAAGCTGCTAACCCATGAGTAAAAAACAAACATCGCTGGAGAGCTTCTTTGAAAAGGAGGAAAGACCCAATGATGAACCCCCTCCACTCCCCGTCCGTGAAAAAATAGTCTTCCACGAAACCGGTCCCTGATGCCAAAAAGGTTGGGGATCGCTGATCTATATCACCTTGGGAGCATGCCCCGAGCCCGTGCCCGGGTGACCATGCAGCTGTGATCCTGCCGGATGCTGATCCCCCCCACGCCCCTCACGGACGGTCCTGGGGAAGGAAGGCATCGATCTTGAGGGGAACTCATCACAGCAGGTCACCTCCCTGACCTCGGCAGTAGTGGTGGAGGCGAGTGAACGGGTGAAGGCAGGGAGATGGACGCGTCATATCTGCTGGGGCATATAGTGGGTGTACATTAAGGAGTGGCGGCTCTTCCCTGGCAAGGCTTGACAGGTCCAGCTTTAGACGGGCAGGGTGTACATACCATTTGCCAACTTTCGGCGCCGAAACCGAAACCGAATTTTGGTCGGCCTCTACATCCAACAGTCCCTCTGGCGGTTTTCGGAGGCGCGTGAGGCCGCCAGGGTGAATACCTCAAAGACTCAGGCTCGGAATGAGCGTTGTGCACGTCGGTCGAAGGGGGACAT